AGACAATTGGTAGTGCAACAATTGGTTTGACAATTAAGAAACTGGCCAACTATTAATCAAAACACACATTGCATTATAAACATCAAACTTCACCAACATCACATTATTACTAGTTTTCATATAGTAAATCTATACCACTATTCAGGCCGTGCCTAAAAGAATTTTGCATTTACTCTTAAATAACAAAAAGTTAAATTGGGTCAAGTAATATACCAATTGGTGTACCAAATGCACCAGGAGGCAATGGATCAAACTCCATTCCAAGAATTGGCCTATTCGCATTAATTTTAATCCTAAAATGTGCTCAAAATACTGAAATTGTTGAAAAATCAGAACCTAAATATCACGGGATAAAATCAAACAAAAATGAACAATAAAAAGAGAAATGGATGAAACTAACTAGCATAGGTTTTCTCAAGAAGTTCCAACTGATAAGGAGTCTTCATTTTACGCTTAACCCTTTGTTCTCCCTCTGGTGTAGTCTTCTTCTCCTGCTCTAGACTTCCAGCACTTTCTACTCCAACACAACCGTCGGCACCACTTCCACTACCACCAGCTCCATCAGTCTCCATTTGACTCCAGAAAATCAAAACGCTTACTTCCTCTCCAATATATAAAACCGAATCAAAACAAGTCAGGGCTTATACAGATCCCCAAATTCCAAACAACCTGGGAGTGCAAGGATATTATTTTTAGGCAAGACAATTGGCGAGACAATATCAACATCTTCATCTGCGTACATTACCATAAACAAATTTCCAAAACAAGCAAAAACCAGTGAGACATTTTATCAAACACTTAGATTACAATAAAATGAAGTTATACATTACTTACATCTGACCATCGTCTGATCCGGTGCTTACAAGTTTGTTCCGGAAGAATTTATTCCAACTAAATGGGAAAAATCAATTTCATTTCAGCTTATCATCCAGGGACAGTCAACCAAACCAAGGGAATGAATCGCACCTTGGAAATGTACTTGCATTGTTATACTGGTGAGAAATCGAAAGAGTGGGTGATGTGGTTAACATGGGTGGAATATTGCTACCAACGTTCACACAGCTACAAGAAAACTCCATATGAGATTTTTAACAGTCAAGAACCTTCTTCCTTGTTAGCTTCTGTCCATGGGACCACAAAGATCGAATTTGTTGAGGGGTTTTTACTAGTACATGATCAGGTGTTATGACAAAATAGGGAGAAATTGAAGTTAGCACAACATCTAATTAAACAAATTTATGATGCCAAGCAAATGGATAAGGAATACCAGGTTGGAGATTCTGTGTATTTAAATCTAAGACCTCATCGCCAATTAACTGCTGCTTAAAAGAGAAATCAAAAGTTAGCCCCAAAGTTCTTCGGTCCCTTTAAGATCACTGCAAAAACTGGTAAAGTGGCTAATAAATTAGAACTTCCCCCAGAATGTGCATTGCATCAACACTTAAAAGGATTCTTGTAGTGATACTGTTCTTCCTTTTTAATGACTTCCGGAACAAACTTGTAAGCACCGGATCAGACGGTGTGTGGATGAAAAGATTACTCAAGTGAGCCCGGACACAACCAGACCGTCAATGCGGGGGTCGACGATAGAGAGGTCAGGGTCGGAGGGCCAGAGTACGTAGATGGCGCAATGAGGAGGGGAAGAACGGCGGCAATACAGAGTAGGCGGTTGTGGAGGTGACATTGGGCTCTTCGATTTGCAGCTCGGGCTCTTTGATTTGTAGGTCGCCTGAGTGCAGGATTGGAGGCGTTTTGTATGTGAGAGGGAGGGAGGCGGGGACGAGAGGAGGAGGAGGAGAAATTAGGGTTTTTGATTTTTAACAAAGTTTTGACACTTTTGGGAATGTAAGGAAAAAAAAAGACTATTAGCAACGTTTGGAACGTTGCGAAATGTCACTTTTCGCAACGTTGACTTGAAAAACGCTGCAAAATGTCATTTTTCGTAACATTCACCCGCACGAACGTTGCTTTGGAACGTTGCGAAATGTCACTTTTCGCAACGTTGACTTGAAAAACGCTGCAAAATGTCATTTTTCGTAACATTCACCCGCACGAACGTTGCAATTGACCCTTTTAACAACATTT